AAACATATTACTCTAACAGTACATTTGATTCACGGAATGCATTTTGAGGTAATAGAAATGCTATTTTATAAGAAATGGAATAGGCAAGGAATAGAATATGAATTGTATTCTATTGTTTGGTTCGCAGAAGGAATAGATTTTAGGAATTATATTACAGTGTTTGGTTGATTTAAGGAATAGAAATGAAATATGTTTTAAAAGACATAAATACCCTTATAAAAATATGTGATGGTGTCGATGGTGGTGGTGGTGACAATGGTAGTGGTGTTGGCGGCGACAGCGGTGATGGTGGCAGTGGCAGTGGTACTGGTGCTGGTGGTGGCGGTTGTGGAGGTGGTACTGCTGGGGTGGCGGTGGCGGTGGCGGGGTGGTGGTGGTAGCGGTGGCGATGGTGGTGGTGATGGTGGCAGTAGTGATGTTGGTGGCGGTGATGGCGGTGCTGGAGTGGTGGCGGTGGCGGTGGCTGCGATGGCGTTGATGGCGATGGTGGTGGTGGTGGTGAAATAAGAAATAAATTTAATTGGGGTAAAATAGGAAATAGAAACTTTAGGTTATTCCTGAGAACTCATGAATAGCCTAATACCAGGGGCCCCCTGTGAATCTCTATTCCCCTTGCAAGGGGAATAGGTCATTCCGATCCCGGGAACAATGTTCCTGACTTCCTGGGAATACAAGTGGTTACCAAACAAAGGAATAAGCCTATTACTGGGAATGCTATGCCATTCCAGGCCTATTCCGTGAACCAAACACCTCATAAGGGTGTGTTTGAAAACTCGAAAAATGGTTTTTAAAAAATGTTTTCTGAGTTTTCAGTGTTTGGTAAGATAGAGGAAAATGAGGTCAATAAAAAATGATGCATTAGTCAAAGAAAAATAGGTATGTAGTGAGGGAAACTAACTTTTTTTTTTTTTTTCTTTTTTTGAGGGAAAGTCATTTTTCAAGGATACACATGCAAAATTTGTCGGGTCTAACTTCTGGCGAGCTTTTGCGTGCCAACCCACCAAGCCCGTGCGCTAGGGTTTATGCAACCATAGCCCGCCCCATACGGGTTGGCGGGCTAGCCCGCGTATTTTTTTTTTTGAAATCAAAGTTCAAAAAAATAAGTAAAGTCAACAAATAATATTAATTTTTTTCATATTTAAAAATAAAAAAATTACATTTCAAAAAAAAGTATAAAATATATATATATATATATATATATATATATATATATATATATATATATATATATATATATATATATATATATATATATATATATATGTATGTATGTATGTACGTATGTATGTATGTATATTTTATTTTATTAGGGCATAGCCCGCGACGAGCTGCATATCTTAGCGGGCCAGGCCCGTTAGGCCGCTATTTCGCGGGTCTTTTTTTTTTTTGGCCCTAACCTTCGAAATTTATAATATATTATACGTTCAAAACGGATAATGGGTAAATGCTAAATTGATTCTCAAAGTAGATCATTTGAGTTGGAAAGTGAAGTATACAATTCTATACATTTTTTTGCTCATTTTATGAAAAAATGAACCAAACATAAAAAGACAGTTTTTCGTTGTGAAGCCAAACATCGGAAAGAAAAATATTTTGTGGAAAAAGACTCATTTTTTATAAAATAATTTTCAAAAGTCATTTTCCTACTTTTCAAACGGAACCTTAATTGTGATGACGACAGATTGATATGTTGATTGGAAGGATGCGCAATTAATCAAGAAAAGAAATTAAAGAGCCAACCTATCTTTTATCTCTTTTTCATTTTTTTTTTAATTAATTAAATACTAGTGGTCATATTAAATTAAACTGAACATTAAAATAAGGATAAAAAAAGGTTTTATGGTTGTGTGTTTGGGAAAATTTCCCAGGCATTTTCCTCGTTTATGGTTCATTATATTAGTCCTTTCATGGCGAGTTGACAAACCTTACATGCATATCATGCATACACCAATGTTCCAGAGAGAAAGGGGAATTTTAGCTTTCAAATTGTCTATTTTTTCAGCAATGGTTACACCATCTTTTGACCTTTTCACCACTTCACTTGAAATGCCATTCTCACTTCAACCGTATAAAGTTCAAAAAATTGACACTTGATCAAGGTTGAAATCCTTAATCTTAAACCAATCATCAATATTTCTCCAAGTGTGGAAAATTTTGACTGTGAAAGGGTTGAGATTCTTGTAAACAAGGTCACTAGTAGATGTTAGGTTTTTCTACTTTTTCCTCTAAATTTATATCATCATCACAGAGATTATTAGTACAACGTAACATCGTGATAAAAATTTAATAACTTCATACATTTAGTAAAAATATATTCATTTGCACCCAACACAAACTTTTCTTTGTTTATACATTTAAAAGATTTTCTGTGTGACCTAACACAAAAATGATAGTAGTTATAATAATCGATGCTAGTCAAGTGCTAGATGTCAATTTTATAATATTCAATTTTTTTTTTTTCCTGAAAGCTTGAAGGAAATATGACGCAAGCTATCTCTTTTCTTTTTCCTCTGATTTTTTTGATAATCCCGATTTATTGGCTTCACCAGACTATATCTTAGACCGTAACTTCGTAAGAGGTGTTGTGGGCACGAGAATCAACAATTGGAAGTTAGAATATTTTAGAATTAGTTTTATTAATTAATTAGGATGATTATCTTAAAATTGTTTTAGGTTTTTTTTTTTTTTAATTTGTTAGTATTATATTATTATTAATGTTTATCTTAGTTTGTTAGTTAGGATTAGTTTATCTTTTTTTTTTTTTTTTTTTTTTTGAAAGAAGTTTATTATATTCCTAATAATTATTTCATGTTGTAATTTGCTTGTTAATGGCTATTTAAGGCCATTGCATGCCAAATAAAATATAGAGTTGAATTTTTGAATTAGAAAATTAAACTGAGTGTTTTTTGGATCTCGAAATGACTTCGTCCGTGAATTGGTCATGGCAAACTTGACTTATCAAGTGTGAAACTTCACTTGTGGCGTCATCCTCACGGTGTGGCCGAGGACTTATCAAAATCAAAAAATTAGCCATTTTTCTCAACCTAAATTAAACCTTCAAATCAAATGCATCCAACCGAATAAAACATTCTATGATATTCTTTTATAATTTGAGTGTTAAGAGAAGATTGGGTCAACCAAGCTTGTATCAAAAGGTCTTCACCATTATTAATTGGTCAAAGTCCCTCAATAATTCGTCAAGTTTCTAGTAGCAGGGTTCTAACCCCCCACATTACTGTTAGAAGCTAGTAATAAGACTAAATATTGATTGGTAGATCATTTAAGTTATTCGGTAGGCATTAATTTCCAATTTTCCAACCAGGAATCTGGAATATACTCAAATTAAACTCCATGGTCAACTCTTATCTGGACCCAACTAAAAATGATTACATACCATAATTAAAGTAATTAAGAAGTGCAATAGAGCCCAGCAAGCAAGGGTCAACTATAGTCTGACCCACAGATTAATGTTGTGAAGTTAAACAATGTTTTGGATCATCAATCATACACAAATTATATATCCACATTGCCTGGCCCACCAGTTGTTGCCGTGATCGCCGTGCAAGATTTCATTATTTTCATGTGCCAATAATTTAATTATATATAATAACAATTTACAACCCCATGCACGTACAGACAAAGTTGGTGTATGTCCACTGCCAATTTGCCCAACCAAACATATATATTATATATGGTCTTAGTACGACATGGTTTTATATTCATTTTTAATGTTATTATTATTATTTTTTGAAATTACGACTGAGATTTTCATTTCTATCGTGTCACTTTCAGATCTTGATCTACTTCACAACAGCAAATTTCCAAGATTTTATTATTATTATTATTATTATTATTATTATTATTATTATTATTATTATTATTATTATTATTATTGATTTATAAATTAAATGTATGTGCATTCTAGTCATCTAGTGTATGCTCTTAATTAAGTTCTAATTATGGCCGGACATTTTATATACTACTAAAAGATTCGTTTGGTTTTTCTAGCATGTACATTGCTTGTCAAACTTGTACACTAGCTATTACTCCCTATTAGTATACTAAAAGATTGTTGTCACATGTGAACATGGGCTAAAAATGAACAGTAGTCGAGTGAGTACAATATGACTTTTAAAAATTTTTACGATTATAAATACACGTTTATATATAATATTAAAAATTGGAATTTATTTCTAATATAACTATAAAACGTGGCTGCTGTGTTCTTCCATAAGGAGTATACAATATTATATTATTGTAGAAAAAAGGGGGAAAGGTAGAATTGGTACATATATTGTTCACAAAATAATTAAGGTCCCCGCCTCCAAATTTCTTACTAGCTGTCTATACACACTTTTGTTACCAAAAACCAAAAAAGGACATATTTTTTATGTTTTCTTATACAACGACCACTATATATAAAATAACATAATAGGGCCCAGACAAAAGGGTGGTCGAGTGAGTGGAGCATGGTCATTTTCTTACCTAAAAGTTATACAAAATTTGATTTTTACCAACACTTTTTTAGTTAAACCTGTTGTATATGATTTTTCTAGTGTGGTTTATCTCTTTAGTGTCATTTGCAAGCTATTATATATAATGGTATGATCTTCTAGTGGGAAGTCCAAAATGTGGAGTTTCATAACCATAATATGCTTCATGGTATATATAGTAATACACATTATATATTTCAGTCCAACAAGTTTGTTGATTTCTTCCATGGAAATGTAAATATTTACAGTACTGGAAATTATGGAATTTCTGACCACTTGAAAGTGATCTTAAATCAAATCTAAAGTAAAAAGTGGTCGGAAATAGCTATAAAAGTTTTTCCGGACACCAAAAGTGGTCGGAACAAGGCTTTTGACATGATTTTTGATCATTTTCAGGTGGTTGAAAATTGCATAATTTTCAGCAGTGTTAATTTCTACTGTTGATTAATATTTAGTAATTAAGAAGGGAAATAAAGAAGCTTTGAAGACTTGAAGTTGTGTAAGAAATTTAGAAGAGAAGAAATATTTTGATTGAATAATTAAAGTTCCCATCATCCCATCATCCATAGCTAGACTATATTACACAGTACAACAACTAAAAACTCAGAAAATGAAGCTCTGATCTCTAATTAATTAACTTTCTTCTCATCTAAAATGGGAATTAATTAATCTTCCATACATACATACATACATTCATACTAATCCCTAGCTAGTTCGCCTCATCATTATGATTTCTACTACTTGTGATTAGTAGAAATACATCCCCTTCTGATCATCTGTCTTGTTTTCATAATTGAAGAGCAAGAAGTCGTTGTTGTTGTTGTTGTTATTGTTGTTGTTATTAATGTTGTTAAGGTTGTCGTGCCCGTGCCCGTTGCTGCTGCTACTGCTAACCAGCTCCCTAACAACTTCAAGATCATATTGCAGCTGCTGAGTAGTAGCAGCAGCAGTAGCAGCAACAGTGCTATTATTCGCAACTTGAGGCGGCCCGTTGCCATAGTCAAGAAAGAACATGTGGCCTTGAATCTGGTTATTAGTATCTTCGAACCCAGCATTGGTTGAAGAAATGATCTGATGATGAGGATCGCCTTGGAAACTGTATTTTCCCAGATCTGCGGGTTCTTGCTTGACATTATGGTCTGTAATTTTCGATCTCTCGTAGCTGATTTGGCTGCAACTCCCATCAGATGATGAGGAACCACTGACCTGATCACTTCCCCCAAACATCAGCAAATTATGATGATTACCCTTATTCATAGCTGCTGGGTGGTGGTGATGATGATATTGCTGCATTAGTGCAGGGTTGAGCAAGGAGGCCTGCTGGTCTTGATGGCTCATTTGAAAGTTGAAAGAAGAATAGGGAGACGACCCGAAATCTGGGTGGTGGAGCTGGGAGGGGGATTCAAGCCCAGAAAATGACCTGTGTGGGGTGTAAAACGAGAACTGTTGTTGTTGAGGTGGTGTGGGGAGAAGAACAGAAGGTCCAGTGGGGGCTGCAGAAAACAGTGGCGACATGGATGATGATGATATGATTGATCTGTGTTTGGAAGAAGAAGAAGATGAAGAAGAAGAAGGAGGGAGGAGCATCATTGCCATGAGCTTCTTCTTCAGCTTGGTGTTCCAGTAGTTCTTGATATCATTATCAGTTCTTCCTGGTAATTGAGCTGCTATTATTGACCACCTAAAACCAAGCCACATGTTAGCTAGATATCATAATAATTAAGCAGCTGGCCTGCCTGCCATATATGCATGCAGAATCTTTCAACATATAATCCATCAACTAATACAGTTGACTTGTGTTTTTCTTTTCTCATCACCCTAAGATCAAGAATTGAAACCAAACCTGCTTCCAATAGTAGCATACAAGCTGCAAATGATCCTATCTTCCTCCTCAGAGAATTCTCCATGCTTGATGTTTGGCCTCAGATAATTCAGCCATCTCAATCTGCAGCTCTTCCCACATCGTTTTAGCCCTGATCAGATCAGATCAATCAAAAACCATGCATATCTAAATCCATAAGTTCAAAAAATTAAATACAGAAAGACATAAAAATACCAGCTTTTTGAGGAAGAGCAATCCAATTTCCACCAGTTCCGTTCTTGTCAATGAAGTCTTTGAGCTTTGCATCTTCTTCAGGTGACCATGGGCCTTTCTTCACCTTCGACTTATCGCAACAAGGAGCTCTCCCCATCGAATCTCTCGATATGATCTCTAGATCCTCCTAGCTAGTGTTGTACTCCCTTTACCATTAACCTATTACGACAATAAATATTAATTGACTCGAAAGAAAGAACATGCGGCAATCTATATTACTGCTCAGCTCCCACCTCCGAGCTGGGAGATCGAAATGGACAAGTTATCTATGTTGGTGGGTGTGTGTGTGTTTGTGTCTGCGTTTTGGTCTTGGGCGGCCGGCCTTATATAAAGAGGAACAGCAAAAATAAAACCACTTCTTCTATGTTTATCATAATGAGATTAAAAATTATTAGTAATTTCTATATGTCTAGTTCAGTAACTTAGGGGCCGGGTATGGTTCAGTGGAAGACACTCATATATCTTTAACCAAACGTAAACTGTTCTACTCATTAGAGGTGTGCCTAATTAAAATTCAATGAGGGAATTAGTCACGGTGTTCGACGGTGGAAATCCAGGATACACCCAAAAAATATACAGAATATAAAAAAAAAATTAAGAAAGAATTGATTTGACTCGTAAATAATATGACAAAAACTTGTGTGAGACCGTCTCACCGTGAGACGGGTTAGGTCGGGTTACGGTGAAAATGTAATACTTATACGCACAAATGTCATACTTATATGTTCAAATGTAATACTAATAAGAAATAAATTTTTTGTTACTTATAAGAGTAAATGTAATACTTTTAAGGGAAAATGTAATACTTTTATATTTCGATTTAAAAGTATTACATTTTTCGTCAAAAGTATTATTATATCTTCCCTTATAAGTAATAGGCACTTGCCAACATTACTTATCATGGAAAATGTAATACTTTTGATGAAAAATATAATATTTTTACATCAAAATGTAAAAGTATTGCATTTTTTCTCAAAAGTATTACATTTTCCCTTAAGTAACAAAAATTTTATTCCTAATTAGTATTAAATTTGAACATATACGTATAACATTTACGCATATAAGTATGATATTTGCATGTTATTTCTATCCTACCCGTTTCAAGAATAAAAATATGTGAACAGCTCTCACACAAAGTGTGACCCAAATAATAAAGGAAGAAAGATATAGTAATTTTAAGTAATTGGTAATAGATTACTAATACAATGGTCAGAGGGGAGGATTGACTCTTGGAGTGTATTTAGTATTTGTACGCAAAAAGAAAAAAAAAAATCATAGATAATATGTATGACGTGATGTGATAATTAAACAATGTCTAGTAAGTAAAAACAACATTTTTATTAAAAGATACTCGGTAGCTTATGGGTAGAGTACCCAGCTAAACACAATCCTAGCACAATCAGAACATTTTTGATAACCACTTAAGAATCTCTAGTTAGTGGTATGTTGTACGTGATTTCACCAAGTAGAATTAAATATTTACATGCATCTTATACATATATTGTTTTTGTACATATAATTCATGTTATATTAAATATGAACTATTTTATGGGACAAATTTCACTTTTAGTTACTAATTATTATAGTATTGTCACATTTTTTTTTGAATACTATTAACTCTATTACAATGGAGTATCTACTCATAACTACTTTCAGGCTCAAACTTACAACCTCTCATGTGAAAATTCAACTTGGTGCCATTGGACTACAAGGTCATTGGCGTATTGTCACATTTAGTTCTTCTCTTTTCATTTTGCTACATTACATCACTGACTTTCATTTGTTTGCCACAATTATATTAGTCCTCCTTTAAAAATTGTGTTATTTCATCATTTAATAAATATGGCTAATAGAATTTAATCATTCAATTAAAATGGTTTACAAGAGAGAGAGAGAAAAATTACATATTGGACAGTAGGTTTCAACAATAAAATTACATGTGTCAACTATATTTATTAAATAGTGAAATGACAAAAATTTAACTGAAAACTAATTGTGCATGTATATATATATATATATATATATATATATATATATATATATATATATATATGGAAGAGATCAGGTGCGGGAGGTGCTTCCCGTGCGATTGTGCGGTTGGACGCATATTAAGCATTAGCTGACACACTTTAAGTACACAACCAATGTTGCAAAAAACGTTAGGCACCCCCTAGGAACCAAGGGGGCGTCTAGGCGCCGATTTTTTATTATTTTTTATTTTATTTTTATTTTTTAATTAAAATTAAAAATTTAGTACTAAAACATAAGGTTTTCGTAGTTATTTCTTAGAAACTATTTACAAAAGTGGTTGTAAAATTGTTCAAAACATTGTTTAAACCATCTAAACGCATAAAAAAACTAAAATTAAGAGCTAAAGAAGCATTTTTTTGAGAAATTAGTGGACCAAACTGCCTTTGGCAGTTTGCGGTGTATAGATCTCTAAAAAAATTGTCCAAATCGGACAACCGAGTCAAACGTTATGCCTTTCGAAACTTTTCTGACAATTTCAAAAAAAAAAAAAAAATCGCCGAACCGCCGAACCGGCCGATTAGGCGTTCTAGGCGGCCGGCCGCGGAGGAGGCCGCCGAGGCCGCCGAGGCCATTCCTCGCGGCGGCCTCCTAGCACCTAGGCGCGATTTTTGCAACATTGTACACAACAAACGCACATTAAACACACAAACAAAACACCTTCAGAATACAAATTCTCGCACGTTAAGCACAAAACTCACGCATGTTAAGCACAAGCCTCACGCATATTAAGCACAAGCTGCACGCACTTTAAGTTTCAACAACAACTCACATTAAGTACACACTCACGCACATTAAGTACAAAGCTCACGCACCTTAAGCACAAGACTCACGCACCTTAAGCACAAAACTCACCGCATTAAGCCCAAAACTCATGCACCGTAAAGTTTCAACAACAACTCACATTAAGTACAACCCACTCACGCACATTAAACACAAGACTCACATATCTTAAGCACAAGACTCACGCACCTTAAGTATAAAACTCACGCACATTAAGCACAAAACAGTACACACTCACGCATATTAAGCACAAACCTCACGCACCTTAAGCACAAGACTCACACACCTTTAGTATAAAACTCACGCACATTAATTACCCGCACAACCTCACGTAAGACACTCAACCACACTGAAACTATATATATATATATATATATATATATATATATATATATATATATATATATATATAAAACAAAATTAAAAGAATATAAGTAAATGTGACAATATCGCAATAATCGATTTTGATGTTATTCGAATCGTTAGTGAACCACATATTCAAAGTAATATTTTAAAATAATCACTCACAAATTAATTAATGCCAATATTTCAATTGTATATCGTTAGTGAACCACACATTCAAAGTAATATTTTAAAATAATCACTCACAAATTAATTAATGCCAATATTTCAATGTATACAATTGAATACTGCATGAATTTCATAAGTGAACAGAGCTCTAATGATCCTCTTAAATTGACCAAAAAAAAAGTGTATTTAATTAGATCCTATTATTATCTATTTAGTAGGTATTATTAATTTGGTATTTTAGAGCATCCACAATGGTTGGGAAGAATAGGGGATAATGTAAGAGTGATTAGGATAGAGAAAATGGGAAGAGAAAGAAAAAAGGAAAAAAAAAAGGGAAAAGAAAAATTAAATCAAAATAATACTATTTTATTTACTGAGAGGCGCGCCTGACGCGCCCAGCTAGCGCGTGCACTGCACGCGCCAGCTAGGCGCAGAGGTGACAGCCACGCATGGCTGTCACACATGGTTAAAATTTGTGGTGGGTCTCACATTTCTGAAATCTCCCCACATTTGCAGGAGGATCCCATTTTTCTCTTTCTTGCTTCTCTCTCTTCCACATGGCACCAATTTCTGACATTATTCTCACATTATGCATTGGTGTGGTTGCTCTTAGTAAACCTTTGATGCTTATATAGATCTTATGTGTAAAAATTATCATTTAAAAAAAATTATTTTTTTAGACGGTTGTGGTTGTCCGAAAAATACAGAAAACACTCATGACTATAATGAAAAGAGAACAATTTAAAAAAAAAAAAATTAAAAACAACCATGTCTTTAAGAGGAAAACAGTAAGGCGAAAAGAACCATAACCACCTTAGTTTCAAAGGTCTAGATTTAGACCTCCTAAATTTGGACATTTTTTTCTTGATAGCCATGGCATGGCTATCTCAGACTGAATTCATTACCATATTTGAAAGAAGTATACATGAAAGTCTAATAAACGCTAAATCAATGGTAACCTAATGAATATGTAATAATGTTATTCAATTGCTCCGTATAATTTTTTACTAGTTTATGGGGATCAATTGAAACTTTTTTCAATTGTAATTTAAAGTGACGAAGTTAACATTTTCTATATAAAATTTTACCTTTAACAATAGGTGAAAACTCATGTTAATTGGAGTCCACGGAAGTCTACAGATAGCTTGATTAGCGTGTATTAATTACGCAAACGAAGCATTAAATGATGCATTTGACATTATTAAGATTTGAAATCAAAGGGCACTTATGGCGACACCGAAGTTTTTGTTTTGTAGAAATTAATATTCGTACAACATATAATAATGGTTTTATGTAATCTTACGAAACGACCAAACTAAGCTAACATAAATGGGACCAATTCATATGTATCACCATGCATGCATGCATCCCCATCACTTCTAATTCAGTGAATATTAAATGGATGTTCATCTTAATAAGTAATTCTCGAACTAAAGTTTACTCGGCCTCTTCATGGAAACTTTCTTACTTTAATCCCGTGGGAATTAATTACATTTGGTGAGGGTATTAATTCTCACATAATTAAACGTAATCAAAGTCAAAACATGTACTTCCACATCCTAATTTAGGTTTCACTTTCCACTTAAATAGAGGGGATCACATAACCCATATATGCTAATTATTAATTACCTAGGTACCATACGCCATACCCCCTCGTGATGCTTCTTATTTTTTGGAATGTTACTGACCCTATTACATTGTAGTATCTGTTCATATACTTTCTCAACCTACTGAAACACAAAGAACCAATAACGCCTCCACTGAGGCTCGAACTCTTAACCTTCCAAATGAAAGTCCAACCCGGATACCATTAGACCACATAGTCCTGGTCGTGATGCTTCTTATTTTAAAAGTAAAAATATTTATTAATTTTTTATTTTGGCCATGTTTTGTATCAATTTTGACTTGCTTGACCACTATTAGCTGTTTAACTAATTGGTTAAACAATCAA